CAGAATTATTCCTCTTTCTCTCGGTGCATTGATATTGAGATAAATTATTATTGTATTCGAGAGATGCGCGATTTAATCTTAAAATTGTTAAAATGGTTGCTACACTCGATCAATGCTTTTACCTCTGCATTACATTAGTATTCAAAACCTCTCACAGAATCATTTGAGAATCAGCGTTTATTTTATCGGCGAATATTTAAAATTATTGAGAATATTTTTAACTCGGTCATTTCAATTTTCTCTTGATACATTAACGTTATTAAGGGGAGTGATAATTGTAGAATTATGTATTTTGTCAAAATTTTGTTAAAAATATTATTCTAGATAATATCTTTCAGTCAAGTTTTTATTAAATCTTAAAGTTTTAAATAATAAAATTTAAATGATTGTTAAATTTTGTAATAGTCCTTTAATGTTATCTAACATTGAAATATAAATTACAATAGATACGTATAACATATAGTTGATTTTATAGTTAACTTATTATTTATTGCAATATCGTATTCCGCAATTGTCGCAAAATTTATTAATCAAAATTAAATTATTTATGGATGAAGAGCTAATTTGACAATCTGATTGGATGTACTAGAGCAAACTTATAACCGGAAAATGATTTCGTTTACGTTGCTTCGTTTGTTTCGTTTTTTATTTTATATTTAGTTGTTAACAATTTGCGGCGCTTTTCTTAATGCAGGATGTCTGAAATGGTTTTTCTGCATGTTAGTTCGCATGTATATTTGGTGAGACAAGACGCTTGGGTTATCTGGTATCCCTTAAAATCCTTTTAACACCCTCAGTAAGCGACCTCGCGGTGGATAATCGTATTAACACATTGTAAGCCGTTTCTAGTAATTGTTGGAGTTGGCAATTGTCATAAAAATAATACGCAATGTTTACGGATAGGACATGTATCCCATTTAGAACGTGTAACTAATAAAACGGCTTATAGCGTGTTAATCGTAATATTTTATATGTATAATATACATATTTGTTTTACATATTTGACTAGAAAAGGAATTATTGGTTTAAGGTTTAAACAAAATGGAGCAAGCATATTAATTTAATAGCAAACAGCTACGTAGAACAAATTAATACAATTATAATAAATTACATTATAATAAATTGTTATAACAAATTGCTTAATTTATTTAATTATTATTACATTAATTATTTTATGTCTAATTATATTCCTTCCCGTAATTTACGATTCCTCTTTTCCTGCTGGAGCATCGAGATTTAATTAATATCTTAGTATAATTGATTATACAAATTTAGAACATTTGAAAGCTTCTCATTTAATTCTTAAGCTCTTAAGGTAATTTTAAGCTATAAGAATAATAAGAGATTTATTGTCAATGCAAATTAATTATTGCTACCGTTTCTGGCTTCTCTATAAAATTACCAAGCTAATATATTTCTAATTTTTTATATATTTACGGTTCATCTGAAGAGTTTGAATCAAAGACATGATACATATTTTCAGTCTTTAATTTTTTTAAATTAATTTATACATATTCCAGATGTAAAATTAAATTCGCATTTATTAATCTTTTTTATTAATTACATTATAAATATTGGAGATATATTAAAATACTTGATAATATTCAATCGAATCTCTTATTTGTTTTTTATGAAGCTTCCAAGTATAGATTTTCCTATCATAAATATCATTAAAATTTATGATTTAATATAAATATATCTTAAAACTGTCACAAATATGTTCAAAATAATTGATTTTTAACAAATAATATTATTATAGTAATTTTTAATTTCCTACAGTCGGCTAATCTTCCTCTATCTCTTTCTCTATCTCTTTCTCCAACTTCTTATAACAGAATAATCTTGCTACCAAACTGCAAATAAACAATCGCTCGCGGATGCAT